GGAGGGGGGGGGCCCCCGAGCGGGGGGGAGGCACCGGGGGGGGGCCGGGCCCGGGTGGGGGGGGGGCCGCCCGCCCGCCTGGGCTCGGTGCGGGGGTGGGAGGTAGCCCCCGAGCAGCCTTGTTGGTGGAGCGGCGGGCCTGGGCTCCCCCCGGCCCTTCCCGGTGCGTGTGACGCCCCCGGGCTCGGGCAGCCTCCCCCCGCTCCTCTGTGCGGGCGGAGCCGGTCCCTGCGGGGGGGTGGCGGGTTTGTCCCTGTCGGGGGGGTGTGAAGGAGCACAGAGGAGCGTCGCGGGCGGTGGCACTGGGGGCAGGAGTGACCCGGCCCCCCGTTCCCCCTCCGGTGCCGGTGCGGGGGCAGCGCCCGGGCAGAGGGGCTTTGGTCGCCGGGAAAGGCCTCCCTGTGTGGAGCGGTGTGTGCCCGGGGGGGGGACGGAGCGTCGGGAAAGAATTGGCTGAAGCATCGTGGTGGGCCCCGGCGAGGTCTGCTGCTGGTGACCTGTCAGACGCTGGGAAGTGTTAACTTGGGCTCGGGGCATCCTGCCAGTCTCTGGCCTGAAACTCCTCCCAGGGTCTCGCAGGATGAAGACCTTGGTTTTTTGTTAATGTTTATTGAATTTTAGAAGCCCCCCGGTTGTGAGCGTTGGTGTCTCTCTGCCGTGGTTGATTAGACCTGGCCCTCGCTTTGGTTTTGTGACGCCCTGTTTGTCCTTTCGCCCTCTCGGTTGGCCTTACTGGTTTGGTGAGGGCAGCCCTGGCTGGGAAATCTCACAGTTTGTGTTTGAGAGCGGGGAGAAGCCCCTGGATAACGCTCCTGCTGAACACAGAGCCAGGTGGGGGGGACGGCTCGGGAGCTGAAGCTGTAGCCTAGAGATACCGGTCATTTATTTGTGTTTAACCCCCTGGTGTTGGGCAGAGCACGTCTGGCAGCGAACGCACAGGACAGTGGTAGTGAGCAGACAACTGCTTTTGTTGGTTCAGGTCTAGTTAATTGCTAGTTAATGAACTTGTTCTGGGGGTCCAAGTTCATTTGGTTTCACTTACTGTTTGCAGAGCGAGCTGGTGGAGGTGCCGCGGCCTGTGCGCTCAAACAGCACCAGAAACAGCAAACTTTGACATTTGTGCTGCTCCAGCTGCAGAGGAATTTGCTGATCCCTGTGTTCAGAGGGGTCTGAAAGTGCACACACACAGAGAAAAGCTTCCCTTAAATAGGAGAGTTGGGAGGAGGAAGTTGCTCCCTGCTCAAGGGTGGCTGCCGTCGTAATTTACCCCAGTGCTGTACTGGTGGGAAGGAAACCAGAAAGGGGATATTTCAGAGGCGGAGGCAAACAATCTGACTGTCTGTGCCTGACACAGAGTTCCCGTGTGCCGGCCACCAGCCCCGAGAAGAATTCAGATGGTGTAGAAATGTTCTTGACATCAAACGTTGTGTAAATTGGGCAGACGCAGTTATTTCACAATCGCCGATCCGGAGCCCTGCGCAGGAGGGGGAGCAGCAGCGTCCCCGAGCCCGTCCCTGGGCCCCGGTGTTCCCCGTCCCCTTATCTCCCGGGGCCGGGCGGTGCTGGGGCATCGCTGGCGTGGCCACCTTCTGCCCGGGGCCTTATCGCAGGAGCCATCCCAGATGTCTTATCGGAGCAGCCCCACGCTGCCGGCGTCCCCCCTCCTTTGGGGAATCCATTGACTTTGGTTAGGGGCCTGTGCCAACTCGAGCGTAGCCGTAGTAAAGGGAAGCAGTGTTATTTTTAGAAGCTCTGAAGTTTCCCTCGTGCCGAGCGCGGCGCGGGGCGCTGAGCAGTGGTGTTTGCCTGCGGTGGCTGTTCCGCCGCGGCTGGGGCTGGCTGCAGGGTCTGTCACTTCCTCTCCCGGCTGGGTGACACGGCGTGGCCCAGCTTCTCCTCCAGCTCCCAAAGTGAAGCCATTTCCTTTCAGGGTCTGAAGCATTCTGGGCTGCTGCTCCCCACGGCAGCGTGGTTGTGGAGCACAAATCCTTCACCCGCAGCAGGAATTGTGAGGGAAGGTGACTGTCACAAACTCCCAAGGAATCCTGCTCCTGCACGCGCGGGCTGTTCACCCCCCGATGTTCTCTCTCCGGTGTTGGAGGCTACAAGGGCAGCCATGGCTCTCTGCACCCAGCGTTGGGCGTGGGGGTGTAAAACTCTGTTATTGTGTGTTGCAGAATGACCCCCTTGTGTCTCCCTGACCTCTGCCTGGTGTGAAGCCCCAGCTGCCTCCGTGACAGCTTCCATCCAGCCTGTCCTCAGCCACGCTGTGCTGAGCCCCTGCTGCTGTTCCCCTCCCTGTTTCTTGAGGCTGGTTTGGCCCCTGGAGGGGACAGGGAAAGGCCCCCAGAACACGCAGCTGTTTAAAAGCTGGTGTTTGAGTGCTGCTCTTCTGGGAAGGCCGCTGGTTTTGCTTTCACTTCACCCAGAACGACATCAGATGTTATCTAATGCCTTGTCTCTGCTGGGAATTGACTGGTGTTATCTGAATCTTTGCTGAAGCCAAGTTCCAAACAGGCTCAAGCCCAACGATTTGCCTCCCTGGGCTGGTGGAGGCAAAAAACAGTGGTTTGGGGACTTTTTGGCTCCACAGTTGTGGTCCGTGTTTGGGGCGATGGGCTGCCGGGCTCTCCCACACCAGAGGGACTCTTCACAGCCTTTATGTACCACTTTCTTGTCTCACTCAGTGTTTCTTCTCCCCCAGGACTATATTTGCCCACGGTGTGAGTCTGGTTTTATCGAAGAACTTCCTGAAGAGCCAAGGTAATGTGCTGCCCCAGAGGCTACTGCTGGAATGAACTCAGCCTTTTTCTAGTTAAAAAGGCAACATTAGATACTAAATACACCATTTTTCTCACTTCTGCCTAATATTTGGCTCGCCTTTCCTCACTATGGGTATGCAGTGCTTAGTTTGCATCAGCAGGTTGATGGGCCCCGGGGATGCTGGGTGTCACACGGTGCTGGCAAAGGGCGGGGGAGCAATGGGTTGATTTAAAACAAACAACAAAAAAAAATACTGGAGAGGCTTTCCCCATGGCGTGTGGCAGCTCTGAGCTGGTTTGAGTCATCGGGGTTTGATAACCCTCAGAGAGGAATCCATGGAATGGCGAGTGTCCCCGCGCTTCCCTGCAGAGTTTAATAACTCAGCCTGGAGTGCGACCTGCGGAACGTTTCGAGGGGACTTTGGACTCGGCAGCGGAGCGGCAGAGGCTGCCTTCACGTGCTGCGCTGCTGACTCAGTGGTGGGACCAGAAATGGCTGGAAATGCTTCAGCCACACTTGCCAGCCCTCGGCTGTGAGCGGCCTGGGGACGGGCGGCGCGCGGGTGGATGCTGGGTGCAGGGATGCTGCGCTGCGCAGGGAGGGGGTGGCTACAGAGCGAGGTTTGTGAGCCGAGGAGGTGACGTTTGGTCCGACTGCACCAACCTGAGAGGCTGAAATCAATCCTGTCTAATCCCAACTCTGTTGGTGACTTGCTGTGACCTTGGGAGAGCCGTGTAATCACCGCACCTTGGGGTCCTGTTTTCATGGGTGTCAAAGCCTGGGCCTGGATGTGAATGTCCCTGCAGCTCTCTGAAAGCAGACGCCCAACAGCATTAAGAGTTTTCCTAATAATCTGTCCCGTTGGGTCACATGCCCCTGCAATAGAGAAGTTCCTTTGATTCAAGATTAGAGTTAAGCGTGTGTGGGTCACAGCCATCAGGGCTCGTACCCTAAGTCGTCTCTTCCTGGCGCTCCGGAGGATTAACTGCTCTGTTGGAGGTGGATTGTGCAGGGACTCATTGCCTGACATCGTGGTGCAGTCACTTCTTTGTGGCTTCCTGAAGTCAGAACGTAAAAGGGTGGGGAGAGATGGATGAAGATGCGGGAAAATAGGGGTTGTAGGAGGGAAAAAATGACAATTGATAGGGACAGTGAGAAAATGGGCAGCTGAGGGTGGACTGGTTTCTGTATGGAGCTGGCCCTGCCCTGGGGGTGAGGGGACCTCTGGGTCCCTTCAAGCTCTGGCTTGGCATAGAAATTAATCACTCACGCTCTGTGTGCTGTTACTGAGCTGTGGTTCTGCTTTTCCTGTCAAACTCATGGCCCTCATGCCCCTCTGCCAGGAAAATCTTCTCTCAGTCACCTTCTGAGGCTTAGCAATGCTCTTCTTCACAGGAACGCTGACAATGAGACCAGCTCCTCCACATCAACCAGTGACCAGAACAGGCATCCTTTTGAGGTAAGGCCTCTCCAGCTCTTCCAACACTTTCTGCTTTGCCATTGAGTTGAATTTTTGCATTAATACGTTTAAAGGTTTCCCGGATTGTGACAAAATTTAGGAAAGGAGTTAACATCATCCATGTGTTGCTCCTGAAATCTCTGCATGTCGTGTTTTTAATAGTGAGTTGTAGCTGCAGCTGAAGACAAATGGGGAGTTGTAGCCATTTCTTACCCTGGTGTGTAGTCTCGGTCTGTGTCTGTTCCCTCACTGAGCTGCCTCTGGAAGTCCCTGATCCACCTGCATCCAGCAGGACTCCTGGGTGAAAGCTGGGGAAACACCAGGCGTGAAAGCAAAGGGCTGTTTCTCTCCCTCTAACAATCCGTTCCCCAAATTCTCTCCCTCCCAGAACGTGGATCAGCACTTATTCACCTTGCCGCAGGGCTATGGCCAATTTGCCTTCGGGATCTTTGACGACAGCTTTGAGTTTCCCTTTGGGTCCACCGCGCCCTCGGAAGACAACAGGGACTCCGAGAACCGGAGGGAGCGAGAGCATCAGTCTCGGCACCGATACGGCGCGAGGCAGCCCCGGGCCCGACTGGCCACACGCCGTGCCGCCGGCCGGCACGAGGGCGTCCCCACGCTGGAAGGGTGAGAGCGACCGCCGGGGCTTGGGGAAGAAACCTCGTTATTTGTCACTGATGAGACTTAGCTGAAAACCAGCCCGGACTGTGTCCTCAGGGGTTTGAGGGATGATCTCTGAGAGCTGTGCTCCTGAGCCACCTGGCCATCGCAGGCAGAAATTATCCCCTTAAATAAAATATCAAAACTTCTCTTTATCAAGGAATAATCAGTTCATAAGATGCAATTGCTGCAGGATATTTTTCCTTTTCCCCTGATGATGGGACAGTATTTACTGTATTTACCCACTCCTTCATGTCTGGTTTCTGGGCTGGGAGCTGGCAGACACTAATTCTTACACAATGCTGGTTTTCTTGTCTTTCAGAATTATCCAGCAGCTCGTCAATGGAATTATTGCACCTACGACGATACCAAACCTAGGACTAGGTCCCTGGTGAGTTGGGGGATGTGCTGCTTTTGCTGCCAGATTCTTGTCTGTGCTCCAGCCACAGTTAATTATTGTCCTTATTCTTAAAGGGGAGTCTTGCATTCGAACCCGATGGACTATGCGTGGGGGGCCAACGGCTTGGATGCAATTATCACACAGGTAAAATTGGTGTCAGAATGGTGTCCCCCCTCCCCTTGTGCAGCGCTGTCAGAGCTGTCAGCGTGGGCTGTGATCACCCGGGGGACAAACCCTGCAGGGGGAGAAACGGGGAGCAGGTCCCCAGTGTGGGCGACATGGGGCTCGATAAGTGGCCGGGTTCTGTGCGCCGCTGAGCTCCCATCTCTGGGGCCTCTTTCCAGTTACTAAATCAGTTTGAAAACACTGGACCACCGCCAGCAGACAAGGAGAAGATCCAGGCCCTCCCCACCGTACAGATCGCCCAGGAACACGTAGGTACGTGTGTCTCCTCCAGGGAATCCCTCACAGATTGCTCTCTCAAATTTCTGTTCAGTGCTTTCTCGGGATTTAAATTTTGCCTGCTAGTACCTTCGAGGCCTAAAACGTTTCAGAGAGGGAGAAGGGTGAGGCATTGCTCCGTTGTGCTCACACACAAAAAGGAGCAGTGCAGAAGGGATGGATTTGCCGTGGGAAGGCAAACTGTTGTGAGGAGCTCAGGGTGGATGGAGGTGAGGGGGCAGAAGGGAAGGGAACAGAGCAACCAACTCGGGGGATGAGAGGCGGGTGAGGGACAGGAGCTGGAACATGGTCTCCTCTGTGGGGATGAGGGGAAAAGGTGGTGGGACCTGAGTCAGGTGTGTGGAGTGTGTCTCTCCCCTGCAGCTTAGCTCTGCTTTGCTTCCCTTCTGTGGTACAGACTCTGGGCTGGAGTGTCCCGTGTGTAAAGAAGATTACACCGTGGGGGAGAGCGTCCGGCAGCTGCCCTGCAATCACCTCTTCCACAACAGCTGTATCGTCCCGTGGCTGGAGCAGGTTGGTGCCACCCCCGTGGGTGGGTGACCCGGGCTCTGGGGGGGTTTCCTGGTGCTTCTCTTCCTCTCTAAATATTTTCCTACATCCGTGATGAGGCCTGAGCACGAGCGGCCTTTGATCGGAGGAAGGAGTGTCACCCGAGCCTTTTCCTCGAGTGCCGCTCCTGTATCATGTTTCTAACCCCGTTTCCCATATTTCTTGTTCTGTTTTTGTCTGCTCCCCAAAGCACGACACGTGTCCTGTGTGCCGGAAAAGCTTAAGTGGACAAAACACTGCCACAAACCCCCCCGGACTCACGGGGATGAACTTCTCATCATCCTCCTCCTCCTCCTCTTCCTCCAGCTCACCAAGTAACGAGAACTTATCAAACAACTCATGAATCTTAATCTAACCCTCTGTCCCCGGGCCCTGTCCCTTGTCCCTCCTCCCTCCCCAGCAGCGACCGGGGCAGAGCGAGGGGAGGGGAACGGGGGGGGGAACCAGCGCCCCCAGAATTCCCTTTTGAGTTCTGAAGATGTGGAGACTCTGGGTCCTTCAGAGATGAGAAGCCTCCAGTTCTGTGACCGGGGGGGGGAAGAGCTCTGTCTATTAATAAAACCATCCGTTTGCCGCGTGGATCTGGCCCGTTGCAGTGAGCGGCGGCTGCGCCCGCGGACGGACCCCGCGGCGCTGAGCGAGCGGTTGCCGTTCCCCACGGAGAGGGTGTTCGTATGGTTTTGAATTTGAGATTCCTTTTCTTGATTTCTTTTCCTCCTCTTCGTCCTCCCCTCGGATTCTGTCTCTTCTGCTTTGGAGATTGACGTCTATAAAACGAGCGCGTAAGATACTGCCTCCCCCCCGGCCCCCCCGCTGGGGAGGGCCCGTAGCTGTCACTGAAAACATGAACTTTGGAAACAGACCCCGTCCCCCCCCTCAGCTCCAGCCCCTTTATTTTTCTTTGTAACCTCACCCTTCTGATACTCAACACTGAAAGGGTTTTTATAATTTTAAATTATTACTGCTGTTAAATAAATGGACGTTTCAGCTCAATGAGACGTTATGCATGATTTGAGGAAAACTACAGGGTAAGCTCCTGGGGGCTGCTGTGCTGAGCCCCCCCGCTCCCCCCCTGCCTGGGCTGGGCTCAAACGAGCCCTCCTGGCCACCGGGCTCCGGCACAGCCAGTGCCGTCGGCGCGTTGCCTGCGGGTCCTGCAGCAGCTGCTGCGGGATGGCGACTGGCACCATCCTTGCCTGGGCCCTTGTATTTTTTACGCCCCCTCCCTGGTGCCCTCCTGCCCTTCTCCCGGCCCCCGGGCAACTCTTCCACCCCCTCGCCATCGGGACTGGGCACCAGAGCAGGGACCAGGCAAAAATCATTGTGATTGAATAATATACAGGAAAAACAACATTTTGGAGAAAAGTGTATTTCAAAGCTACTTAAAATATGGCTGATTAAAAAAGGAGAGAGAGACAAATATCCAGGTGTGTTTGTGACTCAGTTTCTGTCACCGAGATGGAGAATGAGAGGAATGTGACCGGAGCGGGCAGTGACCGTCCTGCCGGGAGGGACCAGGGGGATGAAACCTGGGCTCCTTGGGGGCTCTTGCCAAGGCCCTCGGTTCTGTTCTGGTCACACAAGAGCCCCCGGGGCAGGAGCACAGGGCAGGGGCTCTGCTGGGGTGGGAAATGTCCCCAGGGCCTTGGGAAGGTCTGGGCTCCCTCCCTCCCTGGCACTCGGTGTCCTGGCACCGGCGGAGCTTTGGTTTCTCTCACAGACTCACCCCGAGAGCTCTCTGGGAAGGGCCGTTCCTCCTGTAGGAGGGGGAAGCAGGGGCTGCTTTGGCATTTCTCGAGCTGTTTTGGAATGCAAGAAGAGAAGGTTTGTTGGAGCAAACGTCCCCAGCGAGGATGGCAGCGGCCGGGGCCGGCACTGAGCAACTCTCCTGGAATGTTCTTCCTCCCCGGCTGCGCCAGGGCAGCCCGGCGGCACCTTTCATCTGGCGGGCGGGTGCCTGCGGGACCGGGGTTTATCCCGGGACTGGTCTGTCAGGGTTAAGGGCTCGTCCTCCGACGGAGGCTGAGCCAGAACCTTCTGCCACCAGGATCCTGGGCTTGGGAGGTGGGTGGCAGCAGGAGTGTCCCTGGCTGAGCCTGGGCTGGCGCCGGGGGAAGGCTTTGCTGTTGGGTCACTGAAATGCAGCCCAGGAGACCGGGCAAAACCTTCCTTATCCCACAGCATTCCAGCTGCTGGCTGCATTGTGGAGTTCCCACCTTCCCCCTGAGCTCAGGGGGTGATTTCTCAGGCATGAGCAGGGTCCGGGGGGTGTTGAGTGGGCAAAGCAGAGCCCAGGGTGGGTGCGTGGCTGCTGCTGGCCAGGGACTCCCAGCCAGTGCCCACCCTGGTCACCACACGGTTAACATGGTGGCTGTTCCCTCGTGGACTCATTTGGAGCTGGTTGGGTAAGAAATGGAACGAGTTTGGTGGTTTTCGCTGGGGCCATCGCTGGGCTCTGACGTGACAAAGTGACCGGACTGCGATGCCGCGGCAGGTGCCAAGAGCGGGGCCAGAACGTGCCCCGGCCGAGCCACGGGTGCCATTTCTGGCCGTGTCCCCCCAGGCCAGGGGCTGGTCCTCACCCCCGGCCGCCTTCCCAGCCCCATCTCTGCCGGGGCGGATGGAGCAGGGCTGGGCTGGGGGGGCAGGACCAGCCCGGGGGACACCCTGCTCCAGGTCTTGGTCCAGGGGGTGGGTTGGGCCCACTTGAGGGGGTGTCTGTGGCCCAGGTGATCCTGGGGAGGGGTCCCAGAGCGGGTCTGGCCCTTTCTCCCCATGATGCCCTGAGTTGGGGTCTGCTCAGGGGTGGGGAGCAGGGTCCTACCCCCCCCCCAGCTGGGGGCATCCCCAGGGTCGGAGCCAGCTCCTGCGGTGCCGGGTCCCACAGAGCCTGATGCAGCGGGACCAGGGACCCTCTCGACCCCTCGTCCCCTCCACCTTGTCCCTTTGGGTCTCCAGGGCTGCATCCCCTTGCTCAGGGCCCGGTTCCTCCTGGGGGGTGGTCCCCCCAGAGCAGCTCTTCTCTGCCCCACCATCAGCCACTTCTTCCTGCTCCCTCCTTGGTGCCGCTGATCGGCCCCCACGTGTTTTCATGGAGGTGAGGGTTTGGGTTGGGTCTGTCTCCACACGTGCAGGTGATGGTGGGAGTCAAGGAGGAGCTGGACGTGGTGTGGGACCAGCCAAGTTCCGCGATGGCAGCAGCGGGGACCCCGGGGACCCAACCCCACCCAGCCCACACCAACGAGGGGGGTAGGAGCTGGACGCCCTGCTCTGGGTCTTGGTCGAGGAGGAGCCAGACATGGTGTGGGACCAGCCAAGTTGGCAGCAGCAGGGACCCTGGGGACCCAACCCCACCCAGCCCACACCAAGCCCCCCACGGACACTCCGAGTCTCGCTCCACTCTCTGTACCACGGACACAGCTTTAATTGCCACAAGTGCTTGGACACAAGACAAACACACCCCACCGTCACGTCCCAGCCCCTGCGGAGACGCCGTCAGCGCCGTGCGACCGCCTGGTCCGGGCTGTGGTGGCCGGGGCACGACGTTGGCAGCCCTGGCACACGGTGGTGGGTGGGGAGAGTCACATCCCTGCATCTGGGGCACCTGCCTTCCACATCCATCCTCCGCCGTGCATTTACAAATAAAACAATAAATAGCAAAAAAAATAGATATGTACATAAATAAAATAACCCTTTTTTCCATTTTTTTTTTCCTACAGCAGGGTCCAGAGCTGCCCGCGGGGCTCAGCTGACGAGCATGGGGAGGAAGTGTGTGGAGAGGTGCTGCCGGCGCGTCTTGCCCCCTCGCTGCGGCCGGCCCTTGCTATTGAGCGAGAGGAACATGGGGCGGCCCCGGTGCCGCCAGCGCAGCGACGCGTAGGTGTTGTAGCCGTTCTCCTCGATGCGCTCCGTGAACTTGCAGTTGGGGCTGAACTCCTTCTGGCAGGAGAGGGAAGGGGGTGAGGGGCGGCTGGGGCCTGTCATCACCCTCCTCCAGCAGGGTCGGACCCCAAAATGGGGCAGGGCAGGACCCTGGCTCCTCCCCAGTCCCCAGGGGGGCAGAGGGGCTCTGTGGGTGCAGTCCCCCGCTGGGTCAGCGTGTGGGAAATCAGAAGCCCGCTCCTGGGCACCGGTGCCAGCAGGTTTGGGACCCCCCGTTCCAGCGCTGCCCTGCGCCTCTGACCCCGGTCCGGTCCCTCCCAGGAGGCAGCGTCCGACCTACCGACCCGTAGAGCCTCCCCTGCTTGTTCATGGCCAGGTAGAAGCCCGTGTGCACCGCCCGGATGGCCACCACACCGACACGCACCGACCGGATCTCGACGATGCCTGCAGGACAGGGGAACGCGGCCGTGAGCTGGGGAGGGACGGGCGACCTCCCCGAGGGACCCTGCCCCGGCACCCGGTCTGTGGCCACAATGTGCCCCCCTGGAGGGACGGGGCCACTGACCCTCGCCCGGCACCAGAGCAGCCAGAGGCTCGCAGGAGCAAGGAGCAGGAGCAAGAACCTCTGATCCGGGGAGGGTTTGATCTTTACTCCTCTCCTCCCCAGGGCCCAGGAGCCGGGGCTGGCGGGAGCGATGCCAAACAGCCTCCGCTCGCCTGGGACAAGCTGGGGACTGGACCTGCCTCTCGTGGTGCCTGGTGCCCGGGCTGGCGTGTCCCTCAAGGGGCAAAGTGTGCGTGGGGGTGGCAGCGACGGGATGTAGCTGCATTATGGTGGATGGAGGCATCCGGGCAGAGGGCTGCGGGGGCAGGAATGGGGCTGGGATGGTGCTGCCAATGCCATGACCTGCTGGCACAAGCACAGATGGCCTCAGCCCTCTGCCGGGCACCTCGGGCAGGAGGGATGCAGCAGCGCTGCAGGACGTGGGTCAGCCTCTGCCCGGGGCCAACCTCGTGTTTATCCTCCCCTCGTTGCCAGCTCTGCCCGCGCATCCGTCCTGAACGTGCCTGTGGTGCCCTGGGGACTGGACCTGCCTCTCGTGGTGCCTGGTGCCCGGGCTGGCGTGTCCCTCAAGGGGCAAAGTGTGCGTGGGGGTGGCAGCGACGGGATGTAGCTGCATTATGGTGGATGGAGGCATCCGGGCAGAGGGCTGCGGGGGCAGGAATGGGGCTGGGATGGTGCTGCCAATGCCATGACCTGCTGGCACAAGCACAGATGGCCTCAGCCCTCTGCCGGGCACCTCGGGCAGGAGGGATGCAGCAGCGCTGCAGGACGTGGGGACGAGCCCGGGAGGTGGCTGGAGCCGGACTGCAAAGCCGCAGCGGGGCCCGGCCGCGCTGGCGTTGCGTGTGCCCGGCCGCCGAGCTCCGGCACAGCCGCTAATGGGAAAGGCATGTGGTCGGACCAGCGGCTCTGACGGGGAAACACCCAGAGCATCGTCAGGGCCTCGGGATTCCTGCACCGCCTCGCACCCGGCCAGCCCGGAGTGTCGCTGCCAGCCCTGCCGCCCCCCGGGCCATGCTGCTGGTGGGGGGGAAGGAATCTGCAGTGGGCAGAGGCAGGGCAGTGGGCAGGGGGCAGGGGGAGCTGCAGCAGGGGCTGCCCATGGGCACCGACGTCCCAGCTGGGGTGGGAGGATGCGTGGAGGCTTTGGCTGGCAGCAGGCACAGTGCAGAGGGCTGCAGCCCCGGGGCAGGGGCTTTTGCCGGCACCGATTCCCCGGCTGAGCCGGCACCAACCCCCCAGCATCGCCTGGGCATCACCTCCCGGGGTACACTCATGCCCTTGCCGGGAGCAGAGGGGGTGTAGGTGGCACCGGGGCAGTGTGAGGGCTCCGGAGCGTTCGGCTTCTTTGGGGCAATGGGTAAGAGGGAATTTTCAGCCCAGCGGCCCCGGTGCTGCCCCCAGCATCCCTCCTGGCACCCACCGGGACCCGCAGCGCCCGGCCCAGCCAAGGTGTTGACAAGCAGCAGCCGTGGGGAAGGGCTGAGCAAATGCCTGCGAATCCATCCCACTTGATCACCGTCTGGAGCTGCTGCTATTTATAACAAAGGACTTCTGCTCTGCTAAAAATAACCCCCCGATGCTGTTCCCGGTGCCCCGGCCGGCTCTGCCACGCTCTGTTTGCGGGTGCCCGGCCAGCACCCAGCTCATGCCGGGGGACGGGTCCCCGCAGGCACGGGGGCAGCAGCCTAGAGGCAGCTCCCAGTGCTCCCAGTCTCACCCCCCCAGCTCCAGTGGGGTAGATGTGGGTCTTGAGGCGGGGGAAGCCCTGGGACAGCCCCTGCCACCCCGCAGCCACCGGTGGGGCTGGTCCGACAGCTGCCGCGGGGGCCCAGGAGGCCGAGCCCGGCCCAAGCGCGGGTTCTCTCTGCGGCACCGATAACCGGCGCGAGCCCCGTGCGACAGCCCGGAGCCGCTCCGCCTGCCCAGCGCCATTGCCACACGGCGAGGGAACGTGTTGGGGCGCTTTGTGCTGGCAGCGCGCCCGGTCGGGACTCCCGACAGCCTCTGTCACCTCCAGAGGGTTCCCTGGGCTGGGCTGGTCACTCGTCCTGCGGCCGGACGGGTGACAGGGCAGTCCCCGCTGCCACCAGGATGTGGGCTGGGGGGTGCTGCTCCCCTCCACAGCTTCCTCCCCACCCCAAGCCCCAATAGGCCAGCCCGGTGTCACCCTCCCTGTCCCAGGGGGGTGGGACCCAGCACCCAGAATGTGCTGACACCCCGGGTGCTGGAGCTGGGCTGTAGCCCTGGCCCCCACCGCAGCCGTACCATGGGTGTCACGTCCCATCGGGACCCCCGGCGCTGTCACCTGGAGGGGCCCAGGTAGGAGCAGGGCCCCGGTGCTGGCAGCAGCCTCTCCGTTGGCGCGGGGACCCCGGTGCCGGCCCCGCACCTGCCTCTCCCCCCGCCGCACGCGGCCGCTCCCGAGGGCTGCGGGAGGAGCAGCCCCAGCCCCAGGGGAAGGTCTCATCCTGACGGCTCCTGCCCGAGCCCCGGATCGTGGCAGGGCCTGGGCAGCACCGACGTCCTGCAGCGTTCGCCCTCTCCAACCCCCTGGGACACACAGCCCGGCCCCGTGGGGGGGCTGCAGCGAGTGCCCCCCTCTGTGTGCTGCGGCCGGGGCTGCCAGCTGCGCCCACCCGTGTCCCCACGCAACGGGGGTCCCTGTGCTCCACGCGCACCCTCAGACCGTGCTGAGCCCCCGTCTGCTCTGCGGGCAGTGGGTGCTCCCCCGTCCCCTCGACGGGGCTGCCCCGCTCCCCTGTGCCAGCCGCACGGATGCTCCGTTCTGAGACCTGCATCACCCTGAAGCTTCCTCTCTCCCTCCTCCTCCTCAGCCTTTATCCTCCCCAGTCAGCGCCGGATGAAGAGAACCCAAAGGGCAGGGGAGCAGCCCCCCTCGGCGGGACGAGATGGGGCCAGGGACCCCCCGGGTGACGCTGGGGACGGGGCAGAGCTGGCGGAGTGACACCGGGTCCCCGCCGAGAGCTGAGCGTCCTGGGCACCGTCCGCGGGGCAGCGGGGACGGCGGGGACGGCGGGGACAGGGGGACCCACGGCTCCCGCCCCACCGGAGCAGTTCGCCGGGCGGGAGGAGCTGCGAGCGCTCCCGGGTCGGGCACAGCCCGGTCCCGCCGCCGTCCCGGGGAGCCTCCGTCCGGCATTGCCCCCC